CCGCCCGACCAATCCCGCGCGCCCGCGCGCTGCCCGACAGCGAGCGCAGCCAATGGGCGAGAGTCGCCCGTCCTCTCTACCAGCGGTCCACGTCCTCTACAGTACACAATGGCCCCAAAGGAAGGCCCGCGCGTCTCAGCTCCCAACGGCAGAGGAGCTCGGAGAGAGACGGACCTGCACCGCGTGGGAGCCAGAGTGCAAAAGGGAAGGGAAAGGGGAGCGGGGCAGCCAGGCCGTAGGGAGCTAACCAATGAGGGGCGGGCAGGTGGGCGGGACCGCAGGGAGCCGGAGCCAGCTGGGCTCGGGGCGGGACTTCCTGCGCCGCGCGCCGTCCCCGGCTTTGTTTCATAGCAACGGAGTAGGGGCGGGGCGGGGCGGGCGGACGGACGGGAGCCTCTGCCGGGGCGCGTCCCCGGCTGCAGAAATTGGGCTCCCTGGGGCTGCCGAGCTCCCCGGCCCAGGGCGGCAGCCAGGCAGGTCCGGAGCAGCTTCTAGCTGCCGGGCACAGAAAAGAGCACCAGCCCCCAAACCTCGGAAACGGAGTGTCAACCTCGCCCAGGGTGGACCACGAGTAAAGCCAGACTGCCAACCAAAACTTCCTGAATTTCTAGTGCTTCCCTTTTGCTGTTAGTTCTAGAGGGATTCCAAACCAAACATCGGGCAGAGGAAAAAGGCAAATAGTGGACGACGCCGGCCAAGTAGTCTGTGCTAATCATGCGCCGGCAGTAACAGGACCAGGCAGTCGCAAAAACTGATATATGTGCTATTTTGTGGATGTTCTGTGCAAGTTTCTGCATGAATAACTGAGGCGAACTCAGCTGTTCATTCTTTCTGAGTCATCTTTACTCTCTGCAGATTTCTGTCGGCTTCAAAAGCTACTTCCTATCTGCTGCTGTTCTCTTCCAAGCCTTTTCATGTTTCTGTGGCTCCATCCTTTGTGTCTATGAAAAGGTGCACGTCTGGTTCGCTTTAAAATGAAAAAGTTACTGTGCCAGGACCCTTCTTTGAACGAGAGCGTACATTAAGCAGAGGCCCTTCGGTTTTTATTTGAGTGCTATCACCTACGCGATCCACAACCGCCCTGGATCTCCAAGTTTGGAACCTGTTTTCCACTACGGTTGAGATTGTTGAGTATACTTCCCACCTTGGGATTCTCAGTGTGCTATTTTGCATCATTTTTTCGAAAACATTCCTAATCTTGTTCTAACCAGTTAGCCTTATAAAATGTTTCTCTGTAGTTCTACTTTCTAGTAAATAAGCATTTTAGTAATGTGATTACTACTTCGGAGGATCCTGAGTTGCAATAACATGCTTTATTCTGCAGCCCTAAATTTGGATCGTTAAGATTTTCGTTTGATGAAAAAAACCACAAAATGTTGTGTTTGCAATCGGCCAGGTTAAAAAATGTGGTTTGGGGAGTAATTTTATTTCTATGTCACTACTTCTCCGCCAATAATTAAGGAACAGTTCCCAGGGTTTACACTGCGTGTATATACAAAACCACTGACCTATTCCACCCATCCTTATCTGCCTTACTCACGGGAATAGTAGCTGTATTTACTAAGGGCGCGCGTGCACACACACACACACACACACACATACACACGCACACACACACACTGGGTCTCCTTCAAAATAAATCCAAAAAAAGTGAAACTATGTTTAGGAGGTTCTCTGCATGCAGCCAAATAGTGACTGAAGAGAACATTATAACTACGCGTATTGTTCATATTCATATCTCCATAAATGTGGCAGTGCGGGCCAAATAGTCCTTTCATACGTGTTAATGCAAGTGCCGTTCCCTTTATGTTGTCTGTGGTATCAAGCATATCATATGGATACAAGTTTTACGTACGGTATGTTATATATACAGATATATGCATGGGGTATAAATACATGTGTGTGTTTGTGTATTATATATACACGCATACGTGTGTACCCATATAATCAAGGACTTTATTCTCAGCTAGCTATTTTTCGAAGCTGTCTAGAGTCCACGTTAAGTTCTAGAATAGCGAGAGTCCCCACTGAGCTCAATTTAGCAGTCAGCGTATCGTTGCATCTGATAAATTGACAAGGCAGTAACCGTTCCAGCTAACTGTCATCCTGTTCTGTGCATGGGGCAGTAAGACATTCTGGGGGAAACTGAGGCGCAAGAGATAGAGCCCAATAGGAGACTTCGAACTGAGAGGCTCTACGTAAGTGTATAAAGAACTGTTTTCTTGGGAGACTGTGATACTAAGTGAATAAGCCGTAGTACTCCAAGCCGGCAGAATTGCTTAAAGAAAGAGTTGCTCATTTCTACAAAACCATCGGTCTTGAGCACCACGCAATTCAAATGGAACGCAGCGTCATGGGGGGGATGGGGCACGGGGATGTGAGGTGAGGCGGACTGTGCCTGCAGCCTCCTCTGCGACAGGAGCGTTCTGAAAGATCCGGGTAGGGAGCAGAATGGCCGAACTCCTACCTAGCGGAGCGGCCACGGTGTGAAGCCTCCACCGAGACTTCGTGGCAAAGGAGCCGAGAGATTCTGTGAAGGCACTGAGGAACCCTGGGAACCTGAGCCGTCATAGCGGCAGTGTATGTGCATCTGTAGGCTGGTGTCATCCGGGAAAACGCGAAGTTGGGGGGATATAATTTATAAAAATTTATTAGTAGTAGTACATTTGTGGTGCGCACAGAGGTTACGTTCTCTGTCGGGAGCTGCTCCTAACACATCCAACCTACTTTTTCATCCCCTTTCCCTCTCTTCCCCCCATCTCTTGGTCCCTTCTCTTTTGCAAAATATTTATATCCACTTTCCGTATTGTCTGTCTTCTGTTTTGCTCTTTATATTTTTGCCTTCTCATATAAGAGAAACCTTGCGATGTTTAAGCTTGTGTGTCTAATTAATTTCACTCAACATTATGGTCACAAGGTACACCCAGTATACAAATGACCCACATTTACCCTTCTTTAATGCAAAGTGCTACTCCACTGTGTAAAAATACCACGTTTTCTTTCTCCTTGTTGGTGGACATAGAAGCTGCTTCTGTGAGTTGCGCTACTATGAAACGTGGGTATGCCTGTATCCGTGTAATATGATATCTTTAACGCTTTTGGGAAGATGGCCAGAAGGGGAATAATTGGCTGGATAGAGTTTCTACCTTAGTTATTTGAGGAATCTCCATGCTGATTTCCAGGTGGTGGTACTGGTTTACATTCCCATCAGCAATGTGTAAGGGTTCCTCCTCCCCCCGCCCCCACAGCCTTGTTAGTCACTTGATTTCTTGAGGTAGCCACTCTTTCTGGAATGAGATGTAATCTCACTGTTGTTTTAATTTGCATTTCTCCAGTGACCAGAGATGTTGAACACTTTGTCATGTGCTCCTGCATTTATACATAAGAGATACGTCTCTGAGGGCAAGAAAGTGCCTCTCTGAGATAAAATATTTAGACTTTTGTCCGGTTTCCCTTTGTCTCATTTTCTATTTTCTCTAAATTCACAAGTGACTCCTGTAATGCAAGGTATGAACTGACAGAGCCCTCTCACCACTTATTTGACCCACATTCGGTTAAAAAAAAATGCTGAACGAAAGGACGGTTTAAGGAAATTGTGTAAGAAATACAAAGCTGTTCCCATTTCTGCACAATGGGGAATCCCCCTAAGTCCTTATTCTAAGGAAGACTTTGCCTTTTCTATACCAAATCTGCCTTCAAGTCGCAACAGACTATTCTGAAAAAAAAAATAAATAAATAAAGGGTACCACAAAGCAAAATGCTAATCTGCCAGAAAAAAGATGCACACAAATTCACAGCTATAGAGACAGAAAAGCTATATAGCCTACTCATGTCTGAGTTTAACAACTCATTCTTCTGTAAAAGGAATAGATTTTTATTCAGCTTTTCAAAACCTCTTATAATTGGTAGTGCCAAATGGTGCTTCTCTGGCTCAACTGACATCATCACTGAACTCAGTGCTAGTTTGGGTTTAACTAGAATGCTTGCTGAATGACAACAGAACTGACAATGACAAACAAAATACAACCTGATTTCTCTCACATGTAGAAAAAGTCTGAAGATAAGAATTATAGGTAAATATTGTGGCTCTACAATTTTCTCAAAGACTGAAGTTCCCATTCTCTGTACTGTCCCAGTACCTGGCTTCTACCTTCCAAAAAACCTCATATCCCAAGATGACTGCTAGGGCTCCAGCCATTGTCATGAATTTTCAGGCTAGAAGCTAAGAGAATCTGAAGGACAAATTATACTTCCAACAGAATCAGTTTCTTTAAATACCCTTTAGAGAATTCCCACAAATACTTATATTAAACAGCTCAAGCCAAAATTTAGAATCATGGCCAGATTTAACTGCAAAAAATCTGGAAGGTAATGAGAATTTTGTTTAGGGAAGCACATAACAAACTAAAAATTCAGGTTTTTGTTTCTTCCTACTACTTTATTCTGGTTCCAGAGTTTTCCATACTTGAATTTTATTCTTCATATTTCACTGTAGATTTCTCCACGTTTCAGAAATATATATGAATAATACTTTTAACCTCAACAGTTTGGGTAGAGTGTAAATTTGAAAGAATTTGTCAGAAAAATGTATCAATAATTATGCATCTTTATTTATGTCAAATTAAAACAACATTAAATTTTTATTTTTACTTTCCATCAAAATGTAAATTCACATTTTTTAAAGGTGAAGGGTATCTTGGTGTTGATCACATCTCTCAGGTTGGCAGATCTGGGAACTGACAAATCTAATCATGGTAACTAGAGCCTGAAAAATATAAATAGGAAACCCAAATTAACACGAGATTAACTTATAGTATAAAGCAATGTAATTACTGTATGAGAGAAATTATCTCCTAGTCATCGTGATATTAACAGGGGCCAGTTGTTTACTCACTTTTTTCTCAGGAAGCCGCGTGAAGCACAGAAAGATGCTACATGAGCATATAAATCAGAAATGTGAATTCCCCCAAGGGAAACTCAGACGTGGACATAGTATATCCCAAATCTGAAGAAAGTGTTGTCTATTGGTCTTTAAGTTTGTGTTTACAGTGTACAGAAGTCATCCTTTTCTGTTTTAAAGGCCTTATCATTTTAGGAGGCGTAACCTGTAATGTATCTATCTCTATTTTCTTACGGCTGTGATGTCCAACTGCTCGTTCACTCATTCATTTAGCCTTTTTGGAGTATCTCATCTATGCCAAGAATTATGCTCTATAGCAGGAAGTACAAAGATGAGTAAGCATCAGTCATTGTTCCTAAAGGGAAGTCAGGCACAAGGAGAGATCGTCACCTACTCACGTGGGGAAGGGCCTGATCTCCGCAGGCAGAGCTCGTGATGAGACGCTGAAGAAAAGCAGCCGACCCAGCTTGGAAAAAGTAGTCACTACGGCAAGACATACAGCGCTAATAAAGTTAGCAGCTAATCACGAGGGCGCAGTGTTAGTCAGGGGACTGCTCGTGAGCGAGGACATGGAATAAAAGATCTCCGAATGAAGAGAGAATACGAAGTAGTTTCGTTTTGTAGGAAGTAGAGAATGGCAATCGAGTGGTAAAACGTGCTGAGTGATGAGTATGTTAATATTCAGCCTAATGTACCTAACTAAAGAACCTGGTTTTGATCTTTTCTTGTTTGTTTTTGGATGGGAAACCACTGAAGTATTTTTAAGCCAGGAGAACTTATACAGGCACAGAAGAGGGGAGGGAGGTGACATTATGACATCTGTATTTAAGAAGATGGATTCCGAGGCGGAGAAGGGCAGGACTGGCGGCGAGGGAGCCACTGGGAGCTGGGCAGTCCGTGACGAGGAGAACCGGAATGCTGCCGTGGTAGTAGAGGTACAACACAAGGGACAGATCTGAGAAATACTGAGAAAGCTGGTTTCCAACTCTTTCTGCACCTTAGGATCCCAAATTCCCAGGCTCTACTGCCAGAGATTCTGTTTTAATTGATCTAGCATAGTCTTAAAGCTTCCCAAGTGACCCTAGTTAGCAACTCATGCTGAGGCCCACTGATTAGTTAATTCGCTAGTCGCTGATACCTTCTAGAATATGAGACGTATGGAAGATGGAGAAGGCAGGGGTGATGACCCACGATCTAGTGGCGGGGCAAGAGGGCCTCAGAAACCCACGCAGAGAATGTCAAAGGACAGTCTGTCTCCAGCAAAGGAGGAGGAGGGAATGTGGCTCGGAAAATGGAGAATTTAAGGCATCTTCGGAATGAACAGGCATAGACCCTAATTAGAGGATTGGATACACATGATAATGTTTGGCAACATGGACCAGTAATACCTAAGACTTATTGAGCTGTAAGTGGAGATAATGTAGGATAAGAAGAACGCTGAGCTGACCGTCAAACCCTTAGGATCAATGTTCAGGGTAAAGCACAGGAAAAAGGGAAAAGCCAACAGAGGACAAAATCATCACAAAAGAAACAAGTTAAATGTGGCACGCAGGACACGAAGGGAAGAACAGTATTACCCCGGAGCAAGCAACAGTTTCAAAGTGTGGGACAGGCCGATGGTTTAAAAGATTGTAGAAAACTCATAGGAATTAAAACTGAGAAAGCATTTGTGATTTTAGAGGGAAAACGTCAACTTAAGAGTGGTTGAAAAGTAGAGGAAATGACAAGTAGAGATGAGTCTTTTAAGGCATCTATGTAAGCGTAAAGAAAAGAATTTAGATAACACGACACATAAATAAACACAGGTGACGAGATGGGAGAGGGAAAATCTTTTGAAGGAGAGAAACTTAGGCGTGAAAGTTGGGAGAGGAGTTGAAACAGGTTAAAAGGCACCTTATCCTATGAGAATGGAGACAGAAGGAGGCATCTGAAAATAAAACGGATACATGGATGTGTGTGTGCATGCATGAGCACCTGTGTGTACATGTACACATTGCAATCCTCTTCTAGAGGCGGGAAGAGGTTGAGCGTGACCGTGCTTGATGGGTTACAACTCTGCCAGATGAAACAGCAGGCAAAATTTTCCTCTCAAATCAAAAGGGACTTATGGAGAGTGGGGAATGTTTCCAGTGGAAGAAAGAGATAAAAGATGAGAGAAAGGCCGAAAAGGTATTCTGAGGACACGGAGGAGTGCTAAGATCCAGCTTAACTGGGTAGTGGTGCCCCAGCCCCAAAAGGATTTGTAAGTTTCTAACTTCAGACCCAGTTTGTATTTCAATGGAGAGAATGCTATGGAAATATAAGATTAACAGAAATTAAAATTTTGGTATTTCAGATGATCAACTGTAAGCTTCAAGATGGACCTATGGAAACAAAGGTTATCATGTTAGCCTGGAATGTTAAAAGAAACATCTATTTCCGGTATTAAAAAGGAAGATCAAGAAGTCTTCATGTTATTATTTAATCTTTGGTGTTAATGAAGAAACAGCGATAGATTTAAAATATAATTTCATGACCAGTAGACAAGGAGAAAAGGGAGGATGAGGCCAGGACATATGTGCAGCTTATATTTTCTGTTGAACAAAAGAGAATATTCGTATGGATAAAACTTACATAGATCAAAGGCTTCCTTACCAGCTAAACTGCATCTGAATAGAGAGAAGAATTAATTTGACAATAAAAGGCAGCATTTTGGGAAGGAGCCTTGGGGAAGAGACTTTGGTTATGAAATCAGTTGACATTTTACTCTTTTTTCCCCCATGCCTGTTTTTCAAAATGACCTTTTTCCAGTTTTCTATCTTATTCTCGCAGGTCACAAGAAGAGTGCAGAGAACGCAATCCAGATTGCGAACATCGATTTTGTTAATGTACATAAAAGGGTAGAGGAGGGGACTGTTTGAGTTCAATGTTAATGAGAGGGAGGGAGGGAGAGAGAGACGGAGGGAGGGAGGGAGGGAGACAAGACTAACTCCCATCTGCTGGAGTTAGCCAGTTTCCTAAAGGAACAGGAGAAAAAAAAGATGTATAAAATATCTGGGAGAAAATAGCCAGTTCAATTCTTGGTTACTAACTCTCTTGACTGTTTTTTTTTTTTCCAGTTAAAAATAAGTCTGCTCCCCACCAAAATAAGAAGAAAGCAGAACTATTCAGTACCTTTCAAATCTTTTTTCTTTTTCTCATCTTCTTCCTTACTTAGTTGTAAAAGCATGAAGCAGCTCTGCTCTTGCATGAGTGTATATAAAGAAGAGCTAGGGTGTCTTTGCTGTGGGTCAGGGGTCAGGTAATTCTTGCATGAAATTAGCTATTTGTTGGCACAGCTGAAAATAACAAACTGTTTGAGATGCTACTCAGCTCATCCAGCTTCCAAGCAAGTTTCTTTCCTGAATTCCTTTGTGGATATTTGACCACCGGCCTCTTCAGCTTTGAGGACCTGTGGATACATTTTCTACCTACCTATGGATTTGATAAAAAAAATTGTCACATACTTTTTTAAGGGTCAAATGTAGAAATAAGTTTTGTAGAACTGCAAGTACCTATGTATAATTAAACAGTATTGGTAAAAATGAACAGGACTACATTTCTTATCTACAGTTGTCTAATATACATTAAAAATTGGGTGCTACTAGCTTATTCAACCTTAAATATATAATTGCTTTGCCCATTATAAAAATAAGAAAGAAATGGGTACTAAACTTAGTCAAGAGAGGTAAGGGATTCTCCATAGAGAAAGTTAATTACACACCTTCAAGGATATTAAGGGAAGGAAATATGTATTCAGAGACAGGGGTTAAAAGTTGAAAGATGTCCTGTGCACAGAAAGCACAAAAATAATGGAGTCTTCATGCCCTAGGTAAAGAAAGAGACCTACCCTAGAGACCTAGGCTATAGACCTAGGCTAGGCTATAGACCTAGGCTATAGACCTAGGCTAGAAAGCTCATGTGGAGCATGGCAAAATTCAACACCTAACAAAACGTACATTACAGGAAGCTTAATTTTATCATTGTGAATCTGTACCAATTCTATGTCAAAGGGAATTTTCTACAGTGAAAATGGGAAAGATGAAATCAGTGTTTGAGGTATATATAATTAGTATGGTGCAGTATCTAAGAAAATATGGGAACAAGGAGACTGTCAGTGAGGGTTCTTATTAAGAGGCTGCTGATCTTGTTTATGTTTGAGCCATTTAGGGTCTCGACTTATGTGGTAGCTTTAGGAGTGAGAAGAACTTAGAAGTATAAACAAAAACACTTTTTAAAGAATGACTAGGGCTGTAATCAAATGTGGTTCAAAATTACCAAAATAATCTCCCTATCACTATATATTTGATTAAAAAGAAAGTCAAAAAGGGAACAGATCTGGCGTTATAAAGAATTCATTATTATAACCTAGGTATTAGATCATTAACTGAAACTAAAAAGGTAAAAAAAATCAAATAACTGGTTCTTTGAAAGAATGAACAAAATAGATAAACCTCTAGCCAGTCCAAGAGAAAGTGAGAAAAGACATCAATACAATCAGAAATGAAAAGGGTGAAATCACAACAGACACTGAGGAAATCCAGAATATAGCAACTACTTTAAAAATTTTCCAACAAATTAGCAAATCTGAAGAAAAGGACAGATTCCTAGACACATACAAACTACCAAAACTAACCCAAGAATACAAAGATATGCTTAACAACCCAATAACAAGAAATGAAGTTGGCACAGTAATAAATAATCAACCAATCTTAAAAAAAAGCCCAGGACCTGATGGATTCACATGAATTCTACAAAACCTTTAAGAATGTTATATCACCAATACTCCTCAAGCTCTTCAAGGAAATTGAAAGGGATGGAGTGCTTCCAAACTCATTTGTGGAAGCCAATATCACCCTTATCCCCAAACTGGATAAAGACCCAATTAATAAGTAAAACTTTAGACCAATCTCATTATGGATGTAGATGCAAAAATCCTCAGCAAGCTACTAGTAAATAGAATGCAGCATATTATCCAAAGATTCATACAGCATGATCAAGTAGGTTTCATTCCACAGATGCAAGGATAACTCAACATACACGAGTCAATAAATGTGATACATCACATAAAAAGAAACAAGGTAAAAAAAACTATATGTTCATATCAATAGATTCAGAAAAGGCTTTCAACAAAATCTAATGTCCTTTCATGATAAAAACCCTGGAGAAAATAGGTATAGAAGGACCATACCTGAATACGATAAAAACTATATGTGACAAACCAATAGCCAGCATCATA